GGGGGTGACAATCTGTACACCTCCATGATATAACGTACTGCATCATGGGTGTGGAAGGATTCGTTATGATGGTTAACCGGTCAAGTTCACAACACCCGAATTATGTGTGACGACGAAACGACTTCGCTTTTATAGATAATATTAAAATTAAATATCTCTCCAAAATTGCAATGCTAGCTAGTAGAGTTTTGGAGGATCAGCGTAAAGCTTTTTTAAAAAAAAGTTATATACATAATTATTAATGTAAATTAGTCCTAACTGTTCCATAATTAGTTGAACAGTAATTTAAATAAGGCAAAACAATGTCGGGCAATTTTCAAGGGTTAATATGGCTTTAACAAAATTGCATGCAGTAGACCTGCCTGGTACATTTCTATAATTATTAATTAATTAATTTTTAACAGAGCTATAATATGATCTTGCCAATCGCACCTTTCATCAATAATAATACTGTACCTAAATACTTTAATGTTGATATGACTCGATAGATTTCAATATTGTCAATATGCCTACGAATACAATTTATGAATGGCGTAGCTGATCAGATACGCACGATCACGAATCGCACCCCCCCCCCCTTCCACACACAGCCCCATTAACTGCCCACCATGGCCTCCATCAAAAATCGTGAATTGCGATTGCCATGACAATGCGCGTTTGATGTTTGCAGGTGTGCTACGAAATGACCGTCTCCATTCAACCTTTGTGGATTTGGGGTGTGACGAGATGACAGTGACGTATTGACTGCACCCGCTGCACCGGCGGGGTGACGATGACCCGACGAAATAATTATGACTGGTGTGATATATATATATAAGGCATTATCATCAGTCTGCCATATTATGTATGTTTGTACATAAGTATGTCCATTGTAATACCAATAGAAGCTAGCACAGGAGGTGCAGGGTGAGAATGGCAAATGATGAATATGACTATGATATTCGGCATATGATAGGGGCCTCATCTCACCAGACTCATATATTATGCACCTATATAAAAACGAAATTCATTTAGAAGGGCGCGGCTGTTTGGGGGATAGGTCAGCATGATTAATAGGCTAATAAATATAGACAAAACCATAGAAGGCAGGAGGGGGACGTGTGTAATACAATCCATTGCCTGTCATCATATTACGTTATATTGTTATGTTATGTATGGTAGGGCATGTATGATGGGATGACTAATTCATGTACAATGCTTTAGGCTAATATAATAATTTAAGCCCATATTACACAGGCTATATAGGCCTATATGTCACCGTTGTTTCTTTTTCATTTTCTTATTCATTTCTTATTATTGACTTTTCTTTTTGGCCCTTAGGGCCCTCTAGTCCTACCACCACTGTATATTTAGCTAGGCTATCTTAGTTTGCATACAAGTAAACGACAAAAGTAAAAGCCTAAACTAACGATAATTACAATTTGCCTGCTTGGCTAGGCTAATTGATTTCTTCTAAAGATGCTGTTTAACTTGAGGTGAACTTGCCGGAAACACTTTTGATCTAGATACTATAAATAGAATTCAGCTCTCTATTGACTATTGTATTGAGATTGTGGTAAAATATGGCCGACGATTCAGACTCGGTGGTAAGAGACTCCCTGTTTCCTGCATTTTTTCCCCAGTGCTTGTGTTTTGATTTGTGGACTGCTGTGTTTGCTCCATGCTTGCATGATATTATTACAGCTCCTTGGATTCTATTGTGTCTCCTAGGTCTAGATCTAGATCTAGATCTAGATATAGATTTAGTTCTGGATTCATGCAACCCAGCTGGCTGCCCGTTGCCAGTGTAACTGTTGTAGATCTAGATCTAGATCTAGATATCTAGATCTAGATCTAGATCTAGATCTAGATCAGATCTAGACTAGAGATCTAGATCTAGATCTATATATAGAGATCATAGAGATCTAGACTCTAGATCTTGAATCTAGGCCTACACAGTACTCAGTACGTGCAACACTTGTTACACTTCTAGGCAGGCAGGCTACGGTTGTGGCCGTGATCTAAATCTAGTCTAGATCTCTATACTATACTGTGTAAATTAATATTATGTAGTGAGCAGTTGCAGAAGCTGCAATCCATTACTGCGGTATCGGTAGGATGAAGGCTAGATCCCCCTTAGTTGTAGTAGTTACTTAGTACAGGGCTCCCCTTTTTAGGCCAACTTAACTTTTTAAGAAGAGGCTCCTTCACCCTTTGCCTTTGGGTTACTATTTTAATCATTAAGGGGTATTTTTAAACCCTTGTTTTAGAAACTTAAAAGGTAAAAGTCAATATCTCATAATTTTATAAGATTTTTTGCTTGCAAACATTTAACTCACTCGCACATCACACAGACACACATAGAGTGACCATGACTATGATTGAATGCTAACGATTAAAAAAAAAAAAAAAAGAGTAATATTGACTAGAATTAGAGTTGTGTCCATTTTTGGAATGGAAGGGGGAAGAGTGGTGGTGGTTGAGCAGTTGGGTCTCAAAAATAAAATAAAGTTGACAAACCAAAATGGGTCAACTCCGATTATAATCGAAGTGACTATTCGGACTCGAGTTCGAATATGAAAAAATGTTATTCGGACTCTGATTCTTGTCCAGCATGACATCACTTTCGACTTCCGACTTCCTGTGACTCGTGACTCCGGCTTCCTGTCCTGCCTCAGTCGTGACTCGCCTCAGGCTGGGTAGAGACCGGGATCGCTTCGGGCAAAATGGCGTTTTGAGCAGGAGCCGAGTTTTTATCTTATGATGAATTTGAGGCCGGCCTGAAAAGTTATAGCGCTTTTAATAAATGTTTATTTGTCAATAGATCATCAGAAGCAATTAGAGATGGCTCCTTAGCGTGTGTCGGGGTCGGATGGGCGGCCTGCACACGTGTGGCTGTGTGCGTTACGGGG